GAGAACGACAAGACTAATCCCGGGCATTAGGAACCTCAAGTACAGAGACAAGTTAAAGCATCTTAATTTGCACCCCCTCAAGAGATGTAGAGTGAGGGGCAATATGATAGAGGTGTATAAATGGAAGTCAAGGCTAAACAAAGGGGACATAACAAAGGGACTCAAACTATCTAACCAGGAGCGATCTCGTAACAATGGTTTTAAATTAGACAAATTTAGATTTAGGCGCGAAATAGGTAAACACTGGTTTAAAAATAGAGTAGTGGACGACTAGAACAAGTTACCAAATATCATCATTAACTCGAATACGATGGATAGCTTCAAACAGAGGTTGGATGGATATATGAGCAATAGAGGTTTGACGTAAATGGGACTGCCCAGTTGGGGCTAATAGGCCCGCTGCAGCTTCCTCCATTCTTATATTCTTATGTTCTTTTGTTTATGTTTCTTTATTATTATTATCATTATTATTATTACAGGGTATTATTATTATTGCAGTGTTATTATTGTTATCATTATTATTTTATTATTTCTATTTTTGTATTTTTTATCATAAATTTTACTTATCTTTAGTATTATTTTTATAAAATTTTTGCCCCCCAGGCCCCAATGTGGGTCAGTGACCTGTACCTGGGTGGGCTAATCATCGGGAAAAAACAAAAACAAAATTAAGGCCTAATATTAACGCCATGCCAGGTCTCAACTGATTGAAGAAACAGATGGTGCTGGAAAGCCATCTATAAAAGGATTTAGGCGTGGATATCATATTCTAAAAGCTGTTGAAAATATCGGAAAGTCATGGAAGGAAGTAACAGAAGAGAACATGAATGGTGTGTAGAGGAAATTATGGCAAGAATTTGTAAAAACCCTCAAAGGTTTTGAGGAAACCATGCCAAACATTCAAAGAAATATTTTTGAGCTTGCTAAGCACATTATAGGATTTGAAGAAGTTGATGAAGAGAATGTTCAGGGGGGCTGTTAAAGAGTCATGGAGAAGCCCTAACTAATGAAGAGCTATGCAACTTGAACAAGAGCGCGGCCGAACCACAAACACACCAACAGATAACCCTACCTCACCTTCTAACAAATTCATGACTAAGCATTTGGAAGAAGCATTTGCTCACATAGAGCAAGCAATGAACATATTTTCTGAAGTGGATCCATTAACAGGGATGAGAAAAACGCATATGACCTCTACATAAAGATGTACAACAGGAATAAGAGAGCAGCTGTGCAAGGTTCTTTACACAGTTTTATTATTTGAAGGCCTAAACCATCAACTTCAGCTACACCAACAACTTCAGGTATAGCCACACTATCAACTTCAGCTACAGCATCAAATTCATTATCAGCAGGAGCTTCAGCAAAAACTAAAGCTCAGAACAGGTTCAGCAACAGCTAAGGCATCATTATGGAAAGCTCCAGCTTCAGCCAGAGCTGAACCTACGGCTTCAAATGGAGAACTTGATGACTTGGGAACTTCGTCATCTGAGTAAAAACTCACACAACATTGACTGTCCTTATGTTTTCAACTTTACCAGCATTGTTGAGTAGAATTTTTTTTTTACAATCATAAGCATTAATTAAAACATATGAAAAGTAACAAGTGTTGCTTCCATATTCTTATGTAGAGACATGATGCTATGTTTTCATGTGTGCGCACTTACATACGTTGGCATTGTGCAATCCGTCTCACTTTTTTTCTTTAGTAATAGTAGTTAGCTACTTCTATTGTAACACTTATTTACATTGAATAACATTAATTAAACATATAATCTTTTTTTTTTACATTAATTTTACTACAGCTATAACCAGGGTCTTATTTTCTTCAGTTTAATTATCATGTAGACCATCGTCAGGGGCGTAAACGCTAACGTAAACAATGACATCTCGTCTCCTCTTGTATGTTTTAATATTTTACGTATTATTAATGAGTTGCATTGTTCATTTTGCACACATAAACATTAATTCAATCAAATAAGCACTCAGTAATAAACAATAATGAATATTTTGTACATAAGAGAAATGAAATGACGCTTTTTTCCATGAGTGTGCACGTATATACATTGGCCATCCACGGTTTCACTTTTTTTCTTTACCATCAGTGGTGACTTCTATTGTACATACATCAAAAAACATTAATTAAAAGATACATACTTTTTTTACATTACCTTTATTACAGCTACAAAAAAAGTCTTATTTTCTTCAGTTTCAGATGGAGAACCATCGTCCCAGTTGTAAACATTGACAACAACATTGGTGTCCCATCTTCTCTTGTGTGACTACATATTATTATTTATTTATATTGTTTTTGGTGCATCAATAACCAATATTTAAAGAAGATAGTTTTTATTTTTCAGTAATTTTCCTATTTTGGGGGAAAAGAGGGTAAAAAGCCACACAACATATATAAAAAGGTCACACAAGGGAACGCATCTCATTGTTATTGCTTTATTTTAATAGTAATTAATGATTCACGATACGACGATTCACCAAACACTGCAATATTGGAGAACACATTACCATTGTTATTCGAGGCTTTACTGTAAATTAAAATTTTAACTCCGTTCGTAAGTCAGACTTTCCTAAGTCGTGGACCGCTGTATAGAGATATTCTACTATAAATGTAAAAGAGAAGTAAAAAATCATGTGTCACGACTGAGGGCACGAATGAGAGCTGTGAGACAAACATCACACAAGCAGAGATTGTTACTGTCTGGCTTCACAGTATGGAAAATTATCCTAAATGAAAATACAGTATAGTACTGTTTTAACTATAAAGGTAATGCAGCCTTCCTACCCAGTGAAATCTACATATACAGTAATACCCCGCTTAACGCGGTTTCGCTTAGCGCGATTTCACGTATACGCGGTGCCTCGCCAGAGCCAAACTTTCACTTAACACGGGTTTTTTCCAGTATACGCGTATACACGTGCAGAGTGTCTGGCTCCAGACGCTATTTTTAGATTCGCCCCACCCCCCCACCCGCCACCCTGCCTGCCTGCCTGCCTGCCTGCCTGCCTGCCTGCCTGCCTGCCTGCCTGCCTGCCTGTTTTAGCTCATAAAATTCATACAAATTACCCGGCCAGAATATAATTTACATTGCTGGAATTCTTACAATATGATGATCATTTTGAATATAAACATCATAGATTTTGCATTAGACATACAAATTTTAGATATAATGTTTACTCTGAGTAAATATGTTATTTTTTGTGCAAAATATATGACATTTGTATTCAAAATATTCCTGGTCTTAAAAGGAATCCAGCAATGTCAATTAAATTATCCTAACTTTAGTTTGAGGTATTATTTATTACTAAAAAGGTAAATATTCTGGTTTTCCCACACATCTGGTAGGGAGGGACCGACCGACCATCGTTTACAGAGTGAAGAATATTTTTTTTTTTATTAACTGAAGATGTTTGTTTTAGCTCATAAAATTCATACAAATTACCCGGTCAGAATATAATTTACATTGCTGGAATTCTTACAATTTGATGATCATTTTGAATATAAACATCATAGATTTTGCATTAGACATACAAATTTTAGATATAATGTTTACTCTTAGTAAATATGTTATCTTTTGTGCAAAATATGACATTTATATTCAAAATATTCCTGGTCTTACAAGGAATCCAGCAATGTCAATTATATTATCCTAACTTTAATCTGAGGTATTATTTAATACTAAATGTTAAAATTTAGTTTTTTCACCCAACATCTCTTGAAGGGAGGATTGGTGGGGGTGGGGGGGAGGGTTGGGACTGACCGCGCGGTTGGAAGAGGGGGGAGGCAAGGTGGGGTACTTTGATTGACAGATAGTGTCGTGAAGAATATTTTTTTTTTATTAACTGAAGATATTTGTTTTAGCTCATAAAATTCATACAAATTACCCGGCCAGAATATAATTTACATTGCTGGAATTCTTACAATTTGATGATCATTTTGAATATAAACATCATAGATTTTGCATTAGACATACAAATTTTAGATATAATGTTTACTCTGAGTAAATATGTTATCTTTTGTGCAAAATATATGACATTTATATTCAAAATATTCCTGGTCTTACAAGGAATCCAGCAATGTCAATTATATTATCCTAACCTTAGTTTGAGGTATTATTTATTAAAATTTAGTGGTTTTCCCTCCAAAATTTCTCAGAGAGGGAAGAGCCAGTGAGTGTAGTGTGAGAAGAGGGGGAGGGCGTTGAGTCCATTATTTGAATGGACATTAACTTGGCGACTGTATTTCTCTATTTCTCTTTAGTATTAATTGTGTGCATGTACCATCATAAAATTAAGATGTTATTTTTACTAGAACATAGGTATTGTGTCGGAAAAAGTAGAGTTTAGGGGTCCGGCCAGTCTCTATTGGAATTAATCCCATATGTTCTGTTGTTCACTTAACGCGGTTTTCACTTAACACAGTACCCTGTGGGTTCAATTGATTAACGCGGGGTACTACTGTATTTGGTGGTTGTCTCAGGGACCACGGAGGACAATCATGTTTGAGTCTCGGCTGCGAATTTCATTCACTTGCAACCTTTTCTTCACCAATCTAGAACTTCACCCAAAGGAAGAAGAAAGAAATGTGGGTATCTCTTTCATTTCCTTGACCATGAGTAAATGACTCAGTATGAAATTCCATTTTATAATTGAGGAAATGTGCAAGAGTCCAGCTAAATGTACTATTAGCAAGAATCTAAAGCATGTAAGATTAAAATTATCCTTCTCAATAAGTTCATCTGTGACCCAAGATGATGTAAATAGTTTAGCTGATGGTAGGGAACAATAGGCTTTAGATTAGATGGTTAGGTGGTTATGAAACAAATTAAAACTTTTAAAAAGTTGATAACACCTGATTTGAACCCTCAATGGCCCACGAGACAATCACTGATCCAGATCTGGATTCAAAATGACTGGGTGAGAAGGCTGCTTGCACCATAAGGATTATCACATGGATAATAAGGCAAGAATCAGATATACTCTACCTGACTAGAGGAGTGTGATGGCCAGGCTGGAAGGAGAGATCCAGGAGAACTGAGTGGCCCCATTGACAAATATCCAGAGCTCTCTGGTCCTGAGTTCCCTTGTAGTTGGGCCTGGGCCCGGTCCATACGTAGATAACTCCCTCGTTCTGGATGAGATCCGACAAGAGCAGCATTCACACGCTCAGAAGGACTGGCCATCTCCAGATAGTTGTCTTGAGGGGAAGATATGCAAGGACCTTCCGTACTACTGCCACTGACTGGTGATACTAGACCTGTAACAAAAGTACTGTACATGTTAACAAAATATTATGGAAATCATGATTGAAGGTGGAGGGAAATCATAAAGGATTGTAAGTGGAAGATATGTATGGTAACATGAAAAGTGAGTGAATATCAGAGGGTTGGCTGAAGGCTATTATTGAACTTTCATAAGAATGAGTATGAACTACAGTATAAGAAAAAAATTATTATGGTAAGAAAGATACAGGTATACCCTGTAAACCGAGGTCCAGTTGACTGATACTTCAAAGAACCGACAATTGTATATTAGGGATATACCCCGTAAGTTTTGCTGACTACCCCACTGATCCAACTTTGGGTGTTACGTGTACAAATGATCAGCCTATTATGGTGTATGTTTCATCATAAATAATATAACCTACAGTATTAAATAACACAACAAAACAAAATATGATATAGTATATAATTTGACTTAAAAATAAAAGAGGAGCCAAATCTTCCTGACTACTCAATCCCTCGCTCCGTAAGGAAGGGGGGGGGCTGACTGTGCCGCATTTGCAAGGTTGTTTTTATTTATTCACTATTGTATTCTCATATGGTGTATGTTTCTTCATAAATAATAGAACATATTAAATAATAAGTTGTAATATGACTTAAAAAATAAAAGGACAAGCTTAATCAGAAAGTAATCTCTTCCCTGACCACTCTTCCCTTCCTGCTGACTGCTGTCAAAGCCAACTTCCAACCTGAATATTATTTATTCATTATTATTATATTCTACTATGATCAGCCTCTTATGGCATTCGATTCATCATAAATAATATAAAATATTCAATAACAGAAAAAATATACACTAATATATAATTTGTATTTTAACTTGAGAATAAAAGGATACATTGTATCAAAGGTGGTCTCACTTTATCTTCTCCCTCTCACAACAAAGTAACCTAAAGAAAAATTCATAATACGAGAAGCCATTTATTTTGATGAGAAATAAAATAAAACAAGGTATCAAGATGATTGTGATGCTGTGGACCCCTTTGTGAGTAAGCATGATAGAGTTATCTCCGACAACAAACTCCACAGTTTCAAATCTATAATGCTGACGATACAGGGTGCTTCTGGCTGAGCTTACCAAGGAACACTCAGGCCTATATAACCATCCAGAGCACCCCTGGACACAAGCAGATGAAGGACTGCCTCGCCATTCTCGTGAATGCAGATGGGTCACACTGCCTAAATCCTACTGTAGTTGGGAAAAGCATGAAACCAAGGCCCCTGAAAAACTTTATGGACTCATTGCCAGTTGTCTACGACAACAATAAATCAACTTGGTTCAATCAAGAAATATTACAGGAGTGGTTTCAGAATGTGTTTTGTCAAGCAGTGAGGAGGTACCAGCAACAATACTATGGTATGTTGGCCAAGAATTCTAAGGCCGTGCTACTGTTGGACAACGCACCAGCAAACCCTGCCAATGACGTACTCATCAGTAGAGACGGTAATGTCAGGGCCATCTTCCTCCCTCCCAACACAATGTCATTAATTCAACATATGGACCAAAGCATCTTAGAATACTGCAGGAGGCTCTACTGCAATGAGTACCTCCATCAATGTTGTGGTTATGTTGAAACCAGGGGAAAGAAGACTCTGGAAAACCTCAAGACATAAAACATAAAGGATGCCACATTCAACTAGGCTGAAGCTTGGAAGGAGGTGCCTCGGTCAACTTTGAAAAACGTCTGGATAAAGGTGCTCAAGGTTCCAATGTGTGCTGAAAATTTTGAGTGGTTTGAGCCAGCTGACTTAAACAGGCTTCTGACCAGGGTAAGCTGCCTGATGAAGAGGTGGAAGAGTGGCTACAGGAAGATGCTGACCTCCCTGATTATCACCACCTGATGGAGGAGATAGCACGAGAGGTCTCCCTTCCCACAGTGCAGGAAAAGGAAGACAAGAAGGAAAAAGAGTGCCCCAGAAGTCATTGGCTTCAGTTATCGATGTAGTCGACAAACTGCTCCACTTCTTTGATCAGAAGGCTGGCACACCAATTGTGGGGTACAAAACTACCCTCCGTCAGCTGAGGCACGAGCTACAGGTGGCCATCCTACAGAAAAAAGTAGTCAAAGATGAGCGACCTTTTCAAGCCAGCAGTTCCAGCGCGGCACTCCTCAGTTACTCCTCCTCCATGCATTCCAACTCCTCATACCTCTGAGAGTGAGGTAGAGAGTGAAGTGTCCCTGCCCTCTGTCACTTCAACATCGTCAGTTCATGTTGTGACCCCTGAATTGCCTGACATCAAATTCTTGGAGGATGATGAATTGTGGTGAAGAAAGATATTGTACAATTCAGTAATATTAAATTTGTATAATTAACATTAAGTATAATATGCTTCGTGAAAAGAACCATGAACAGTACCTGTATTGGTTTGTAAATCAAAAATTATTACAATCCAGTAAAATTAAAGTGTCAAGCAATTAACACACTTTTCTGTAAAAGTGCCTCAAACCAAATTGTTCCTGAACATAATAAATGAGCCATCTACTTCCACTACTGAGTCTACCATCTACAACATCTAACAAGGTAATTAAAAATACCTTTATCAGTGCGTGTATTACATATTTTCTGTTTAACCCATAATCAATGGCTAGCGTTTTAAGTAAAGCATATACTGTATTGTCTTTAATGGGGAGAGCGTACAGTGGTCTAATCAGATTTGATATAGGCCTAATGAAAGCTAATACAGTAGGTACAAGAGACATTCATGCGTAAACATGCTGGAGGTCAGGGGAGGGGGTGAGACCGGCTGTTGCCACGTTTACCTGTTTGTTTTTATTTACAGTACTGTACTCATTATTATATTCTCATATGATCAGCCTATTATGGTGTATGTTTCATCATAAATAATTTAACCTACAATATTAAATAATAGAACACTATATGTTACACATATTTTAGCTTCAAAATAAAAGACTAGACAAATGACAGGACAATTATCTTCCTCACTTCCTCCCTCAGTAAAGGAGAGAGGGGTGAGGGTTGAGACTGGCCTTGCTGCATTTGCCATTTTGTTTTCACTCTGTATTTATTCATTATTATATTCTTATATGACCAGCCTCTTATGGTGTATGTTTCTTCATAAATAGTATAACATTAAATAATAGAAAAAAATACAATATACAATTTGTAATTTGACTTCAAAATACAGTTAAAAGAAAAGCTGTATCAGAAGGTAATCTCCTCTCTGATCACTCTTCACCTCCCACTGACTGCCATGTAAGCCAGCTTTCAACCTGAATATTATTGATTTATTATTATTATATTCCACTGTGATTAGCCTCTTATGGCATACAATTAATCGTAAATAATATAAAGTCTTCAATAACATAAAAAATATAATATACAGTGAGTTCTGCTATAACGCGTGTTTTGATAACGCGAATTTGCTCTAACGCGATTTATGAATTCGGAACAATATTTGTATAACGCGATCGCTTGTTTGCTATAACGCGATTTTTGCTTACTATTTCTCCAATTTTGTGGTATTAACTGTGAATATGGTAAAGAAGAATATCTCCAAAAAGCATTCTGATGATAGAATTCCCGGTGATTATCGTAAAAGAAAGGATATAACACTTGAAGAGAAGCTTGATGTTATCAACCTCAAAATCACCCTTCTCCCCCATCAAGTTACATTCATATTTTTTCAAGGTAAAGTGTTAAATTTACTGTATGATTTCATTATTAGATATGAATGTAACATTTATTTAGACTGTGCTATCCTTTGTGTTAGGCTAACTACTAAATTTTTTCGATTTCGAGTAAACTGCACCTAACCCTATTTTCTCCATAAGCCCTGTTATTTCTATTACGCGATTTTCTATAACACGATATTTTACAAGAACACAATTATCGCGTTATAGCAGAACTACCTGTACAGTCAATCCTCACATTACGCGGTCCCGCATTCCGCGTTTCACCGTTAACGCGGTGCCTTGCCAGAACCTAACATGCTCACATTCCGCGGTCGTGAACCCCATTACGCGGAAAGCGGCTGGCAAGCCGCGCCATTTTTGGATCCAAACCTCCCGCCATCCGCCATGTTGTGTAAGAGGCGCGAAAATGGTGCGCACAAGGTCGCCCAGTCATCAAAACATTACCGAGTTCTTTACCCGCCACCCACCACAACCGGCCCAAGTCAGTGATAGTGATAATTATAGTGAGGATATGGACTTATATGGACTTTGAGGGGTTTAACAAAGAGGCCCTGCAAGCCTCTGTGGTGGATAGTGATACAATTGATACCAGTGATACAGGTGAGGGCCAATAATCTGCCCTCTGCCTCGGAACCAACCCCCCATCCCCGTGTGCCCAGCCATCTTTTCTACTAATGTAAGTGTTAAAAAACCTAATATTATTGATATTTCTCTTAATTATTAATTGTGTGTGCATGCCATCATAAAGTTCAGATAATATTTTTACTACAACATAGTTGTGTGTCGTCAAAAAGTGGAGTTTGGGGATCGGCCTGGACTCCATTTCAATTAATCCCATATGTTATGTTGTTCACTTTACGCGTTCCTCACTTTCCGCGGTACCCTCCGGGTTACATTAACCGCGTAATGTGAGACCCAACTGTATACAGTAATTTGTATTTTGACTTCAAAATAAAAGGATACTAAACATTGTATCAAAGGTGATGTCTCAATTTATCTTGTCTCCCTCCTCCCTCCCACAACATACGGTAGTAATCTAACAAAAAATTCACTGAGGGAATCCATTTATGTACAGTATTATGATGAGAAATAAAATAAAACAAGGTATCAAGATGAAGTTATTTATTATATACGTTATCATTTTTATTTTAAAATACCATAATGGAGACGAGGCTTGATATAATGATATCCCCGTAAGCCGGAACAATTGGTGCAGAGCACTTCCGGGGATGAGAGATTTCCGGATAACAAGACGACTTTCTCAAACCCAGAAAAATTCCTTATCCCCGGAACCTTTTCCGGTTACTGGGAAAAGTTTC